GAGGAGGAGGGACGAGAGGAGAGATGACGAAAGCTGGCCAGATAAAGAGAGTGATAGCGAGATCGTCGAGAGAGGAGAGGAGAGGAGAGGAAAAAAGTGTCCCTGTCTCGTACGAGGCTCGGGTGGAACCAAACCGCGGCGGTTATTATCGATCTCTCGGCATCGTTACACTTCGTCCGGGATCCGTACAAGTGCGGTAAAAGGCACGAGAGAGTGGTTACGTCGATTGTCCACGGGCTGCAGAGAGAAGCGACGCTCTACAGGCTGTTTCTAAAATAAACGGCCAAAGCTTTTTCGAGTACGTTTTGTTTATCTTCGCGATAGGAGGCAATTTCCCGTGTTCGCAAGTCACGAAAATGACTTAGGTCGTGGTCATTTTTTGTTTGTTACAGACATTTTTTTTTTTCCGGTTTATAAGACTGGTTTCTTTTTTTTTTTTTATAATCGTTCTGAATATTTCACTGTTGATTTCATTCCACTTGGATTAACCTTAGTTGATTCAGCGCGTGTCCTAGATTCATTTAATGAAGCGAGTAACACGATATGCATTTAAGCGATCGCCTGAAAAATATATTTCAATGTAAATATTGCTGATAAAAAAACTTGCTCGTGATAACAAAATATTCGTTGATAGGTGTAAAAGTGGCTTGTAAGCAATTAAGAAAAATCACTTTATCTTTCAGAGTAGATTTTGCACGCTGGATATGATAATTGTGTATGAGAGAAGGTGAAGCTTGAAACATCTACGATTAATAATCTCTGAAAAAAATCTGAAATAAGTTAAATCCTTACCCTCGTTAAAGCTATTCGAATTAGATTGTTATTGGTGATGGCAATAGGTCCAATTATGCGAATATATATATTAATTGGAATTTTATTTTATGCGAAGGTGTTTAAAGTTGTTCGTTTACGTTATTATCGTCGTTCAAATTACACAGTTTCGCGTGAGACGAGAATTCAAAGCAGCTTGAGAGTAGTGCAAGAAGCCTCTTGTTAGAGAAGAAAATCATTTCTGACCGTTAACCGGTGAATGCTTATTCCAATATCAAGCGTTTGCGAACTTGACAGGTACCCTTGTAAACTTTTGTCACAAACAAAAGATAGCTATAACTCGGAAGGGAGTTCCTTTCCTTTTTCCCTGTGTGTGTCCTTCTTCCATCTTCAAGGTGAACATCGTTAAAGCCCTCCCAAGAATTGAAATGAGCAATATAACAAATATTGGATGACTAGAATTACGGAAAAGACATGTTTATGGACAAGTATATTACGGTTAAAACTTTCTTCCAACTTGTTTTGTAAGTGTAAGGAAGTATTACATAAAGAAGTAACAGTAAGGAAGTATATGAACAATAGAACGTTCTTGTAAACAATGATGTAAATATCTATTGCTCCCGTTTAACAACATTGGAAAGTACAAATGGATTATATTTTTTTAGGTAGAGAGTAGACTGTAGATTTTCAACGCTGTTCTGGAACATTCTATATACACAGGGCATATCGATAAGTCAAAACACGTATCGTTGAAACGATTAACGTAGTAACGTGTCCTGTCTATAGCAAGCACGAACAGTCCATCTTGTCCCGTTATAGATGAAACGTTTAGTATACACATCCAAAGTTTGCTCTCCCATTTTAGAAGCGGCTGCATATATCCGATCGTTCCGTAGAAATTTCAATGTAACAGCCTAAGTGGCATGTGGATGAGTGCACGACAAAGAGGGAAAGGGAGAGCGAAAGAACGATCTGGTCGGTTGTAACAGGTGCCCCCACCCGTTCCCTTGTTACCCCTCCTCTTCTTACTTCGATGCTTCTCTCGTAGCACTGTGTTCTTCTCTTTAGATTCGCTTCGTTCATCCTGTGTGTATATCTTATAACGTTTCCTATCTTCTTTCTCTTCGTCGTTACTTAGCCTCTTTTATGTAAGGCTAGCAAACTGACCTGGCTCAACTATTGGGTATGCCTATGCTTCTCTCTCTGGGGAGAGAAACGAGCTATAGGTTTCCTCCTCCTTCTCCTCCTTCTCTTTTCGGTTTCGTCGCTCGAGTTTTGTCGAGAGGATGTACGAGGATGAGGTTTTCCGTTAGTAGCGTCGTGTAATCAAAAATCTACACGGTAGACGGTACGTTTTTTTTTTTCCATGTTTTACTTTTCGCTTCACCAGCTGCATGCTAATTGTGGTGGATACGTGGACTTGGAATTTTTCGTGATAAAAATAGGAATATTTAATTTAAAAGTACGATTAAAAATACACGGAAGTGCTACATATAAATTGATCGATTGAAAGAAATATTTTAATTCAAAATACATCGTTAAAACGTAAAAAACATTTACTGAAGGAAAAAAAAATGTTTATAAATCCAAGACATTACACCAGTATCTCCCGAAATTGTATTTAACAGATAAAAAAAAGATACATGACAATTTCTATGTGAGCAGCCAACGGAACGTTGAAAACTGTTTCGTATGCATCCTGATTTCTTTTCGTCATGGGCCGCTTCTTCTTGTACAAATAATCGAGAATAGGGAAAAGCGTAATTACTACTATGCTATTCAGGCTACAGGCAATCGATTTCTACAATGCCTGTACAATGGAATGAAAATATAGATATCGCTATTCGTCTCTGCCAGTCTCGCGGAAAACAGACATGGATAGCTATAATAATAGATAAATGCACATGCATTACGTAAATAACGCGAAACAATACGTCCGGAACACGCAAAAGGAACAACGTTGTCGATCGTACTTCTAAATTGATTATTTGTAATCGTCACTCATATACGTTGCTAGATATTATAATACACTATAATTAAAAACTATTATCGATGTTTTTTTTTCTCGAATTATCAACGCGATGTATCGTTTAAGTGTTGAATCATTCCGATTTAGATTATTCGAATATCGAGTTGTAATTGGTTAGATAGTAACGGACGCGCATCATGTATCTCCGTATTCATTGCTCAGTCAAAGAAGGTCCCCGCAGTATGATGCTGTACGTAACTACGGTCGTTGGAATATCTTCCAGCAAATTGACCAGGCTAAATATACTGTTACGCGCGTATATACCTGGAGATATCTGAAATACTTTAGATTGCAGAGATAAACGTGCCATGAACGAAGTAAAACAAACAAAGATACGGTTGTATGTGGGAGGGGGAGGCGAGAAAGAAGGTGTAGATCATTTGAGAAAGAGAGAGAGAGACCACGAATAGTCGGGTAAAAGAAATTCGTCATTCGTCGTTCGTCATCGACGTCGTGATGTAGTTCGAACGTGAAGTACGACCCCAGAATAATGGGGGTAGCGCATCGCCATTGTAAACAGACTTGGAAGCAGTAAGCAGCTCCGGGATTTAGTTCGATGTGTCGGAGGATGGGGACAGCGGGAGGTGGTTGGGTGAGACGGGGAGTCTGACGGTTGGGATGAGGAAAACCGGAGTGTTGGGTACCAAAGCGGGGCAAGGGTGAGAGGGGACGTGTCGTGAAGAGAGGGGCAGACTGTCGAGGGTGGGAAGTTGCCGAGACATCGATCGGGCCGGCCATTGCTTGCCACACTCCACTACTAGGAGTCAAGATGCCATATCCACTACGAGGAACTAAACTCCATGAAACTACTCTCTGCCGTTCTCTACGCACTTGTCCTAACCCGCTGTAACTCTGTATAGGTGTGTACCGCGCGCGCATAGGTTGAGCTGACGCGAACGAACGTTGGGGACGATCACGCAGCAGAACGAGAGGGAGAGACAGAGAGAGAGAGAGAGAGAGAGAGA